TTTTACACTACATAATATTATATATTTGTGACTTCCTTGCATTTTTCATCAGGCGTTTTATTTTTTATAAAAAAAATTATGATTGCCTTTGTTTATTATTAACAGAAAATCAGGAATCCGACAGTTAGGCAGGGGAATGAAATGATGCGTGATGATGAAAGCAGGCTCGGTGAAGCTGCAAGAGAAGCCAAGAAGAGGTTGGATGAGAGGTTTCAACCAAAACGGAGATCACATAGAAAGAGGTATAATACGTATTAAATTTATTTTGTATTTAATTAGAATCTTAAGACCAGACTCGGTGCAAAATAATTTATGTGCCTCCTTTTTGTACAGATTGTAATTTTGGTTAGCGTAGCAATTTTATTTTATTCAACATTTAGTGATTTATGCCACTTTATAACTTATTTATTACGTGACATGGAACACTCAACTTTTCAGCACGCAAGAGAGAAGCACATTTCCAGATAAATGGGCAAATGCTGAATCAAGCTTAGAATTACCAAATTTGAAGAGAAGTGGATTAATGATGAAAAGGCCGAGTTGGTTGAGAGTAAGATGGAAATCATGTGAAGAAGCTAAATGTGCTGTGTGCTTGGAACAATTGGGGGTAGGGACGTTGATGCAGGTGGCATGTGCTCATAGGTTCCACACCAAGTGCTTGGTGCCATGGATGGAGGCTAATGCACTCTGCCCTTGTTGCAGGATGGAAATTCACCCTAGTAATTAATGTAACTTGTATTCGACCTGTGCATTTGCACAGATGTGCATAAAGTATTACAAATTACTTGTATGGATATAATTTTAAAATTATAAATTAGATAATAATACTATATTTATGCATATAATATTAAAATTGTAAGTTAGAGAAATGTATTATGTTTTTAAATTCGATCAGTGGTTAAGATATATAATATATAACGATTTAATTCCATATGAATCACTATATTGATTTCATAAAATATAATAAATAATATAATTTTATAATTTTGAGGGAGCAGGATCAATTAATTAACTAAAAAAATATTAAATTATTATAACAATTGCATATGTAATTTTAAAGAATTTTACTATGACATTAAGACAAATTAATTTATTTAAAAAATAATCGTTTAATCAGATAGAAAATATAATATTAATTTTAGAATAAATAACTTGAACAAACAGTTTTTACAATCTAATTTGATGTCTACGTAACTTCCATATATCATATAGTGTGAAGTATAATTATTAATTTTAATATTAACAATTATATAATAGAATAAAAATATAATTATTAGTCAATTAACATAAGATGTAACTTATTTATCTTAATTAACGCAAAAAAATGCAAGTATCTTTTNTAATAATAATAATAATAATAATAATAATAATAATAATAATAATAATAATAATAATGATTTGCCCGATATATTAATTCAAAACGTGCTGAGTCTAAGTGGTAGGCTCGCATTCTATGGGATCCTATGTGACAAAATTACATGCTTCGTTATTAGGCTTTGGTAGATTTTAGTTTACTACCAATCCAAAAATGATTAGGTCTGGATTATCCATAAATATGTTAATAATTTATGGTCATGTTACATGTCTTAATTGCATTTTAATATCATTTCTTATTATAATCACTGAATTGTAAATGTATTCTAAAAGTTAATAACTTTTGTATTTTTTATCAGTTTTACATATATAATATATCAAATTGATTATCTCTTGGTGAGCTTCGATATAACATCCATATTGTATGCATAAGAAAATAAATTATATTTATCTTCATAACAATAATAAATTATTTTTTTAATCTTTCTCATTAATTTTAAAACTTATGAATAATTTTTTAACAAACACACGGGTGATGTACTACACTAGTGTTGTACTAATAATAATAATAATAATAATAATAATAATAATAATAATAATAATAATAACAATAATAGTAGATTGTAACGGTTATTATATTAGGAAAGTGACATTTAGGTAAAATTAAATAGACTTTATTTATAGGTAGAATTTATTGTTTTAGCTAGCAATTATATATATATATATATATAGGGTCACGCTCCGGTGAGAATGATTCTCAACAAAAGAAATAAGAATACATCCTAGTCATTAGATCGGATGATCTAATGGTTAAAAAGAAGTCAAAATTATACACTCATTAAGGGTAATTCGGACATTTACTCACACACGCCAACTATCCACCACATTAGTGGGCCCACCCTAATTATATGTTCCCATTCCCCCGTACCCCAGCTGTCACACGCCTCCCCCACCTCTCTCTCACACACACACACACCTCCCACAGAGCGCCGCCGCCCACAAATTCACGTCAGCCACCGGCAGAGCGCCGCAACAACCCGCCACCGTGAAGATGCATGTACAGAGCGCCGCCGTAACCCACCGTCAAGATGCACAAAGCGACAACCGTCTT